TATTGATCAACTACTGATGATGGGCTTTATCTCCTGTGTATTAATACCTTACATCTTTCTCGTATTTCTTATATCTCTTATATTGCTGTTACTTTGTTATTTTATGGTATTTATGTTATGTTATGGATTTTATGGTATTTTATGTTGTTTTATTATGAGTCTATTGATAGTACTAATATAGTGTCTCTTGTTGTCTCTTTGAGCCGAGGGTCTCCTGGAAACAGCCTCTCTGCCCCTCGGGGTAGAGGTAAGGTCTGCGTACATATTACCCTCCCCAGACCCCACTTGTGGGATTACACTGGGTTGTTGTAGTTGTTGTTGTTGTCCTTAAGGAATTTTAACCCCCTCACACGTTGCCAAGGTAATGGATTAAATCCTCCCAGGATAAAACGGAATAAACCTTCCTGCAACAGTGGCAATACAAACTGCAGGATACCAACGAACGCAAAGAATGGAGCAAAATCACACTTACGAATTTGAGAGAGAGAGACTGCAAATTAGGATGCAGTATATTCAGAAAGAAAGAAGTTCTGGAGTGTTTTTTTTTTCGTGTTAAGAAGATGCAGCCTTGCCTCAGAATTTATAGGCAAATATCAGAAAGAGGTGTCTGGAAAGGTGCCTTTTCAGAAAATACGCGGCTAGAGAGGCTCTCTGAATCTGACTGCCGCGATTCTACCGCGGTCGCGGCAGAACCGCGGCCAGCGAGGCCCTCTGAACTTTCAGCAGGGTTCTGGCGTAGTTTCAGCAGTGATTTGACATTTAATTAATTATTAAATAATTAAATAAATTTTGTCCAAAAAATAATCTTATCGATCATTTAACAAATCTGAAGCCGAAGCCGAAGCCGAAGCCGAAGCCGAGCCGAGCGAGCGACGACGACGGCGCGAGAGTTCATTCTCTTCAACTCCTTTTAAGAGCTCTAAGAAGTGAATTTATATATAAGCACACAAATGTGATTGTCCCTCACCAATGAGGGACAAAGTGCAAGACAAAAGTTCACTTCTTCAAATTTTCATTTTCCCTCCATTTTATTTCCCTCCATTTCCAATTCACACTTCTTCTACTTTAAAGCCCAATGGCTTAAAGTCCAACAATCCCCCACATGAATGGGAATGGCTGTATCAAGAAAGATCATAGATGAAAGCTATGTGATTTTGCAAGTAAGGATTAATTGCATCTGGATAAGTAGGTTTCCCTTTGAACTTTCCGTAGTGAACATATGTCGGATATACTCGGTCAATCGGTAGATTTGATATCTTTGAACCGTCGAACTTTAGTGTATACCTAGACAACCATATGTCACACAACCAACCCTTAACCGTCTTTTGGTTCTCATTGTTGTGTTCGTTTTAGCCATGAACACCGCCTGGTCTCATAAGTGCGTAGAGAATTGGCCTTACAGAATTCTCCTTGAAGCGGCTTACACTTCACACTTACGTAGGTGATTCCTAAACGTGTAATCCTTTAGATTGACACTATTTGATAGATACCTCATCAAACTTTGGTAATCATTAAAGAACGTGTAAAGTTCTATCCTTGTTACTGAACATTGTCTTAATCACGAGAATGGACCAAAGATTTTGTTTTGACAATGTTGAACCGGTCAATCACAACTTTGTTNACCAAATGGCTTAAAGTCCAACATTTTATAGGAAGCATTTTAGGTAGGTGAGAGTAGAACAGTAGCAATCTGGCGAGTCGTAAAGACTGGCAATATTAGTAGGCATAAAAGGTATTATAAATAAAAGTTGAGATTGTTTTAATAGAGGTGATAAGGCAGTTGTTATTTCTGATTTGCTGAAAAATATTTTTAATAATGGAAGAGAACTAATATCAGAACATAATTTCGTCCAAATGTTTTCGTTAGTACTAAACCTATTCTATACTCGATGCATCGACAATTTCTGGATTAAAATCTGCATAAATTGTGATAACTGTCCAATTTCTAAGTAGTCAAATTGATTATGGTTGGGAGCCAGGAGCTACTCCGAAAGAGAATCTCTGACTATACGCCCACGTTTATAGTACAACCATAAATTAAAGGAACAAACTGTTTTATGCTATGATGCTTCTCTCAGAGATGGTGGTACCTAGCAGAAAATTTTAGTGTTAACATTAGTTTCCAAAAAATAATCTTACGAGTTATTCTTAATTAGCAAGTATGAACTTTTAGTACAGAAAATCGGCTTTTTAAGGAAGTGGAATAGCTACTTACGAGTCCAAACATGTTTGGGACATGGGGCTACACGGTTACAAACATTTGTAATAGGTTTCGGATGAGTCACGAGATCCTTCAATTAAGTGCAGCAGTGAAGTTTCCTTAGTGATCTGGTAGGAGATTTTAGTGGCTATCTTGTTTAAAATTTATTGATCTGATGGTTGTATTGCTGCTACTCAGGAATAGAATCTTACAGCCACGTCTTCTTTGAGTATTGAAGTAAATGGCACAAGCAAAAACAGAAAAGACTTCGAAACTTGCAAATTATGATGCTTACTTTGAGATGGTCCAGAGCAGAAAGAAGTTGCCCCGTAATTTACAGGAAACTTTGACTGATGCATTTGCAAAAATTCCAGTTTCATCCTTCCCTCAAGTCCCAGGAGGCAAAGGTATCTAAATTAGATAAGTTTTTAAACTGTTGTACTAAGTAGTTTGATGTCCAGTGCTGAATCCTAAACGGCTAACTTACACCTCATTCTAGTGATTGAAATAGATGCGGACACTTCCATAGGCGACGCTGTCAAGATTCTTTCTGAATCCAACATCCTATCAGTTCCTGTGAGGAATCCAGCTGCTCAGAATAGTAAGGATTGGCGAGAAAGATACTTAGGCATCCTAGATTACTCAGCTATTGTTCTTTGGGTCCTGGAGGGCGCAGATGCAGCAGCGGCTGCCTTATCAGCAAGTTCGGCAGCAGCGGCAGGAGTTGGAGCAGGTGCTGTTGGTGCTCTTGGAGCACTGGCATTGGGTGCAACAGGTCCTGCTGCAGTTGCAGGTCTAACAGTGGCTGCAGTCGGTGCAGCTGTGGCAGGTGGAGTGGCTGCAGATCGAGGAGCAGGAAAGGATGCTCCAACTGCAGCTGATAAGTTGGGTGAGGATTTCTACAAGGTTATCCTTCAAGAAGAACCCTTTAAGTCGACGAAGGTAAGCAGGCCTTCTAAAGGATTGGCCTTTAAGCTTCTTCCAAGTCACCGTAGCGGTTTGATTGATCAAGAGAGACTTTACCTTTTCATGGTGTTTGTGTCTAAGATATATATGTCTTCTAGCCTTAAAAACTCTCAAACATGAAATAAAATGACCAAGTTGGAGGACACCAGAAGCTAGACTAAACTGTATTCAGAGAATTTGACATGAATACACATGACGAGGTCCACGAATTTTATTTGCAGGTGAGCTCCATCATAAAATCCTATCGGTGGGCACCATTTGTTCCAGTAGCAACAGACAGTTCTATGTTGAGTGTCTTGCTGCTGCTATCAAAATATAGGATGCGGAACGTACCGGTGATTGAAAGAGGAAATCCATTCCTTAAGAACTTCATAACACAATCGGCTGTTATACGGGGTCTTGAAGGATGCAAAGGGAGGGATTGGTTTGACTGCATCTCTGCTCATCCTATATCAGAGCTTGGCCTCCCTTACATGTCCCCTGATGAGGTCAGCAATTTGTAGCTCCTTTCACTTTTAGATATTCTTCTGATATTACAGAAGTTTGGTGATGCCAAGTCTCTGTCTTTCCACATACACACAGGTTATTTGCGTTCAAAATGATGAACTGATTTTGGAAGCATTCAAGAAAATGAGAGAGAACAATATTGGAGGACTTCCAGTTGTAGAAGGGCCAAAGAGGAAGATAGTTGGCAATGTGAGCATAAGAGACATCAGATTTTTGTTACTCAAGCCTGAACTCTTCTCCAATTTCAGGTATAGATAACTTGCTTCTTCCTCTGGGATCTGAATATTTGATCTCTTCTAAGATAATTTATGCTTAGACCTTTATTGCACAGGCTCATAGATGTTCTCTGTTTCTTTGTGTACTGATACATAATTTTGCCCGTCTCAATTGCAGGCAGCTGACAGTCACGGGCTTCATGAACACAGTTGCTTCGGTAACTCATGATGCCACAAAGGTCTCTACACCAATAACATGCAAGCTTGATTCAGCTCTTGGTAACGTGATAGACACTCTTGCATCCAAGTTGGTTCACAGGATCTACGTGACAGCTGGGGAAGATGATGAAGTCATTGGCGTAATTACGCTCAGAGATGTCATTTCTTGCTTCATATTTGAACCACAAAACTTCTTTGATAACTACTTTGGATTTTCTGCGCAAGAAATGCTAGGGCAATGATACTTCTGTTGGTGAATAAGCAGGATATATGGGGGATTTCAAAAGAACCAGCACCAGGTCTTTGGCATAAGATCAAAGAAACAGTCTCGAGTACCGCTTTAACATGTACAAGGTGTTCCTTTTATGCGACTCGTGCAGCATTATCGCTTGGTAGTTTTTTGAGTTTTTTTGTTTCTCCAGTTCATTCAAATTTCAAGGTCATTTGGTCTTACTACCTAACTACAAATAGGGATCGATAGTGACAAATATAATAAAAAATTTCATTTTTTTTTTAAATAATGCTCCACTGTGATGTTAGAATATGCCTCGAGTTACAAAATAATTGCTGGTGTGCCTGTGGTCATTTCATATTTCCTTGGTTAAAACTGCAAGAGTTTCTTCCGAGTATTGCACTTGCTATATCTTCATAAGTGGTTTGTCTTGTTAAATCTTGTGATTTCGATGCTTGTTGGGTTGAGAAGCACAAAAAGCAATCAAAAAGGTTCAGCACACTGAGTGAAGTAGCAAAAAAGCAAGAAATAGAGTAACAGATAATTTCGGTCCATATTTAAGTTTTTTCAGAAAGACATTTAGTGAAATAATCGTTTTCACCTTTTTCTACGAATAAAATTCATGTCCAAAGATAACTTGGAACTACAACAGGAATTTAAGGACCTTACTTGAAAGGTAACTACTCCCTCCATTCCAATTTATGTGAAACTGTTTGATTGGACACATAGTTTAAGAAAAAAATGATGAATTTTAAAATTTGTGATCCTAAACAAATCAAAAAGGGGTCCAAAGTATTTGTATGGTTATAAATTTTTTTTTATTAAGGGTAGAATACAAACCAAAAAGGAAATAGGTTCACATAAATTGGAACGAGAGAGTACAACTTTATTGTCTACAACGTACATTATATGTAAATATGAAAATCAATATGATTAAGGGTGTGTTTGATATGAAGAAAAATATTTTCCTAGAAAATGTTTTCATGGAAAATGAGTGGTTTTATCACTTATTTTCCCTTGTTTGGTTGGTGAGTGAAAAAGAATTTCGGAAAATATTTTCTAGTGTTTGGTTAGAGAGTAGAAAATATTTTTTTAGGAAAATATTTGTTATGCTACTCTTCTCACCCCCTTCTCCCAAGTCCCCATATTTCCTTGCTCGCCCCCTCCCCCTACCACCTCCAAATACCCAACGTTTTCATGACTCTATTTTCTTGAATGAATTTAATTTTTCTTCTAAAAATTTACACAAACCCAAAGGAGCTAATGTGTTGCTTTACTTTTTTATGCAAAAATAATGTTAAAATTTATGCTCCATAACTAAAACGAAAATACTCTTTTTTTTATGAAAATGAAAGTACTCTTTCTATAACATGAAAATAAAGTACTCATTTTATTGAAAAAAAAATACTTTTTTACATCATGAAAAGAAAATACTTTTTTTGTTGAAACAAAAAAAAATATTTTTTATATAATACTCATTTGTTGAAATGCAAAAATAATCTATCTATAATACAAAAATAAAGTACTATTATAATATTTTTATTTAGGGTAGGGGAGGGGGTGGGGGTGAGTA